TATATCGCAGGTTGTTAATGAGTCTTCCTCCAATCCTTACGCCACGTTTTTCTTCATAGAACCCAGCTTCTCGTATTATTTGCTCAGCTTTAAATGTGTCAAGTCAATACCATCTATGTCAAAAAAATAAGGATAACCAGCTGATGTTTTCAAACAGCACTATCCTTTGGCCAAATTAAAATGTTAGTGAGATTCTGAATTATCTCACAAAGCTTACATGTGCACATGATAAAAGCAGCTGTAGTTTTAATATGTTTAATGGTAATGTTTAATGGTGGTAGTGATGGTGTGCCGTGGAGTCGCTTCCAACTCATAGCAACCCTGTATAGGGTTTCCAAGGTTGTAAATCTTTACCAGAGCAGAAAGCCTCATCTTTGTCCCTCAGAACGGCTGGCAGTTTCGAACTGCTGGCCGTGAGTTTAGCAGCCCAACTCATAACCACTATGCTACCAGAGCTCCTTATGTTTGATGGTAGGGGAAAATGAATTTGGTGAAGTAGTCTTCATTTTTTTTAATGCCTTCGTCATCCCCTGGGATGGCACACATTCACCACCACCTCCATTATGGTAATGTGAATGCTGGGATTAAAGCTCTGAGATAATCTGTGCTTTCAGAGTTCACAGATGGCCATAGAGTCCGGGTGTGGCACTGTAGGATAAACACTGAACTGCTAAGCTCAAGATCAGTGTTTCAAACTCACCAGCCACTCCTTGGAAGCCCTATACAGGGTCACTATGAGTCAGAACTGACTCTAAAGCACTTAGCAAAAAAAAAAAAAGGCATCCTCAGGGACATCTCTGTGGAACACCTCATTTCTAATAACAAATGTGTCTGTGTGAACTCAAGTCATATGTTTCTTTGGTTGGTTTAGCCTTAAATTGTAACTTTTATTTGTACTTATTTGTTTAAGGTAAATAAAAATAATGCAAAATTATGGAATAATGTGGGCCATGCCCTGGAAAATGAAAAGAACTTTGAGAGAGCTTTAAAATACTTTTTACAGGCTACGCATGTCCAGCCAGGTAAGCATTACGAAGTACTAAAATTTGTGGGTAGATTTTTGTTTTCTTTATGTTGAGGTGCAGTCTGTACTGAAAGCTGTAGTCTTTCAATTGCATCAGTAGGTATTTCGAGTTCTTCACTTCCAGCAAGCAAGGTTGTATCATCTGTATTATCACAGGTTGTTAATGAGCCTTCCTCCGGTTTTGATGCCATATTCTTCTTCAGATAGTCCAGTTACTCGGATTATTTGCTCAGCATACAAGTAAGTATGGTGTAAAGATCTAACCTTGATGCACACCTTATCTGATTTTAAACCATACTGTAGCCTCTTTATCTATTTGAGCAGCTGCTTCTTGGTTTATGTACAGGTTCCTCATGAGCACAATTAAGTGTTCTGGAATTCCCATTCTTTTCAATGTTAACCATAATTTGTTACAATTGACACAGTGGAATGCCTTCAAGATAAACATATTTCTGGTATTCTTTGCTTTCTGCCAAGATCAATCGGATACATGCCTCATTCCACATCCTCTTCTGAATTCAGCTTGAATTTCTGGAAGTTCCCTGTCAATGTTCTACTGCAACCATTTTTTAATTTTCTTCAGCAAAAGTTTGTTTGCCTGTGATGTTAATGATATTGTTTAGCAATTTCCACATTCTATTTGAAGGAGTTCTGGTAGCGTAGTGGTTACGAATTGGGCTGTGAACCATGAGGCCAGCAGTTCGAAACTACCAGCCGCTCCGCAGGAGAAAGATGAGGCATTCTGCTCCCATAAAGATTTACAGCCTCAGAAACCCTGTACAGGGTCGCTATGGGTCGGAACCGACTCGACGGCACTTAACAACAACAATTTGATTACCTTACGTTGGAATGGGCACTAATCTGGATTTTTTTCAGTTGGTTGGCCAGGTGCCTGTCATCCTATTTTCTTGGAATAGATGCAGAAGAACAGGTATTAAGAAGGGAAGGGAGAGGACATGAAATAGTTATCTAAAACTGTACTTCACAAATGTCAATATTTATATGAATAACTTGGAAACCTTGTCATTCTGATTTATTCTGATTTTTTTAGAGTAGTATCTGAGATTCTGCATTGCTAATAAACAAACTCTTAGGTGGGACTAGACCCCAGATCACAGTTTTGAAAATCAAAGATCTAGGAAACTACAACTGTAGGAAAGTATAATAAAATTGCCAGGCCAATCTACTGCCATACTAGAGGTTACTAGTGCCAGTGTCAGTTGTAATTATGCTGATCTGACTCATAGGCACCCTGTGTGTGTCACAGTAGAACTGTGCTCTGTCAATGTTTCAGTGGCTGATTTTCAGAAAGATGTCACCAGGCCTTTCTTCTGTGGTACCTCTGGGTGGACTTGCACCACACACCTGTTAGTGGCAAGTGTATTCATTATTTATGTCTCCCAAGGACTCCTACATGAAGATGTTGTGTTGTGTGCTGTTAAGTTGGTACTGATTCCTGGTGGTTCGAGCACTTCATTTAGAGTGAGACCAGTTGACGTGACTTTATGTTTTTCTCTGTTACTTTGTGTCATGATGGTGTGGGCATGGAGAATTTAACCAGAATTAGGACCTTCTCTAATATGAATTATTAAACAAGAGAAGGGTAAGTGAGTGATTATGATGAGATACAATGTAAACTGAGTAACAAAGAAAGTGAGAGAATGTGAATGATTGGGGAAAGGAATAGATCAATAAATCTTTAGAATTACTGGTGTCTGCTTGTTGTTGTTGTTAGGTGCCAATGAGTTGGTACCTACT